TCAAGTGTTGATTCATGACATACAATCATTTGTTTATACTTATCCGCATTTGATGATCAAAAGTGCAACATTCACATACATACATCCATTACAATGAAGCAAATAATCACATATATTACAGAAACAATAAATCAAACCATCACCTACCTAGAAAACAAGGTTGAATCCTCCTAAGAAACTTGATTCTTCCCTTTCCGCTTGTTCTAGGTCTACAAATAATTAATTCATAACGGAAATCAATAATTAAGGTCTAATTACCCGGATTATGACGAACCTAATAACCCAAGACCCAAATTATGATCCTAAAATACAATTAAGGTTTTTCCCACCATCCAAAAGCCTCCCCCAATAATAATTATCCGTGAATTTTCATTCTATGGATCGAAAGACGGATTTGGGGAGTAAGACCTTACATTTAGCTTCAAGAATGGTGAAAAACCGTCAAGAAGTCGCCCTGGTTCGTCTCCTAACTTTCAAGAACGAAAATTGCAGAATAAAGACATTTTGGGGTTTATTTTTGACTTAAGTCGCGACTGGCCTACTATGACGGTCCCCATCCCGCCACATCGGCCTAGCGGCTTGCACGAAAACAGAGAGTCAAATTAAGAGCTTCAAACCCTTATTTCACAACACACCTTCATCCCACAACACTCACAAACTACCCGTTTACGCTAAGCTCAGTTTTGGGAGTTCTATTTGCTCGAATTCAATCCCGTAAAGTTGTACAGGTTCCTTAACGTCTTAGCTATCCACTCATGTAATCACATTCAATATTAAACCTCTTATTTGTTACCAGATTTCCCTAGACCTCACTGATTCCAATTTCGTCCAAATTTGGACTAGGCTAGGAAATCTCAAGTTACTACCAAAAAGTTTTCTGGCCCAAAATTTTTCCTTGATTGCTTTTCTATAACGACGGGAACAGGTCGTTACACGAAGTTTGCAAGTTTTAGCATTTTTCAAAAGTGTTTTTAGCAATGAACTAAATTCTTCTTTTTATTGAGTTGAATTAAAAATTAGAAAGCTAGTATTTGAGTTAAATTCAAATAGCCTGGATAGGAAAAAAATTAAACTTATTTAATTTGAGTTAAATTCAAATTGCCTGGATAGTAGTGTTATTTAATTTGCTTAAGAAATAAAATTGACCTACTTTTGTCGATTACTTTTTCCACAAAACTACAGAGAAACTCTCAAAAGAATTATGTTCGTCTTGTCAATTTTATTTATGTTCTTACAAATATCAATTGACGTACATCGAACTGTAAAATTACAGTTGAAACACATATATTAAATTTTTAAAAATCCATAAAATTAATATTATTATGTTTAAATCATATACAAAAATGAGATTAAAGTGTTAAAAGTAGAAAGATTTTGAGTTCAAAATTGGATACAAAAATTTTCTTCACTAGTACTTAGTATTAAATAATACTATTCATTTCATATTATACTTAATACTAAAAGTGGGGAGATGTTAAATAAAAAAAATTATATCAAAAATAATATCTCTTAGTAGTAATAAATATAATAACACACAAAACATGTGAGAAATACTAACAGATGATACTTGTAGTGGTGAAAGCTAAAATGACTAATTAATTCACGAGTAGAGTTACATACAACGTAAGAGAAAGACCGAAATTTTAATATTTTGAAGTCTAATAAATCACATCATATTGTACTCCTTCCGTTTTGTTATGTTGCGTTTTTCAAAATTTAATTTGATTAATTTTTAAGTTTAAATTAGATTTCATTAATTTGATATTTTAAACAAAAAAATTAGATATTCAAAAAACTATACAAAACATATTATTTATTATAATTTTTTGCATATCAATTATATGATGAAGATGACTATTAAAAATGAACGGAGGAAGTAACAATTACTGCATTAATATTGTGATGTCTCTTCCACTAGTCTAGATTGAGTAGTATAAAAGTGCAATATGTTTCATCTTTGATCACTTCAATACAATGTAACTACTCTTTCTAACAATACTTGTCCACTTTATGAAAGCAGTGAATAATTTTATACTTAGTTCCTAATTTATCCTTATCACTAATTATAGTCACTTCTCTATTACTTTTTTTTTTACCCTCCCCTAGGAGCTCCCACCCCTTTTGCTCCCTTGGTGACTCAAACTTGCAACCTTCGAGTTGGAAGTGAGGGGTGCTTACCATCCGAGCAACTCCCTCTCGTCAGTCATTTCTCTATTACATTTTTCAAGACATTGTATTTATTATATTCAAAGAATGGTATAATAAAATTACCATACTATTTATAATTTCTTAAGAAGTGTGCAAAGTTAATAGGAGACAATTATTATTGGACAGATGGAGTATAAACTCTCTTTACCTAAACTCAATGCTCACCACAAAAGATAATAAAATGGTAACACACCTTATCAATTTGCATTATTGTATATCTTTATCGATTTATAGACTCAATGTAACTATAAGCTCTCTTTAAACTAAAATCATTTTGCATTATTGTATATCTTTATCGATTTATTTCGTTAGGGATCTATTAGTTTGGTAAGTTAGTGAAGGAAAGTCAAGTTATAATATAATCAAACAGATTCATTTCTTAAATATTTATTGTATTTAGTATGAACCTATTGCAAGATGATCGATTTTATTAAATGGTTCAAATTTGCCTTTTATTTCTATTTTATTTTCACATGCACTATATTTTAGTATGAAGTTATAATGATCAGATGTCGTTTATTTTATGGAGAGATTCATATCATCTTATTACTTCGCGTTTTTTTTTTCCTTCTTGTTGGCATTTTTTGTTTTTAGTTTTTGCTTCTTCTTTTTTCTGTTATTATCTGATAATGTTCTTGATTTATTATAGTCGTTTACTTTCTTGATCAAATTATTCTATCAACTTTACACTTCTTAAAAATTCTTTCACGTTCAATCAAAAGTAATGTTCAATATATTTGTGTTTTACGATGACAATAAATATCAGAGGATTATCAATTATATCATTTTGAAACTTTTGTATTAATCAACATGAGAAACATACCTGAAAACTAGTGTATATATATATATATATATATATATATATATATATATATATATATATATATATATATATATATATATATATAAATGAGCCTTTAATTATTATTTCGCTTTTAAGGTAGTATAATTTTTTTGATTTTTCATCTAGTGTTTGATGTCGCATATTTGGAGCCTCGATTAAATTTAGATCGCACATTATATGGCCCTTTCTAAGGATGACACTCTCAACAAGATTTTCTTCATACCTAAGACTCAAACTAAAAACCTCTGATTAAAATTAAAACAGTCACATCACTACACCACATTGCCCCACAGGGTGATGACATCCTCGACAGGGGCACATGGGAAGTTGGATCTTTTAGTTGAAAATGAGTGTGTACCATCCAACCACATCAGATTGTGTGTGTCATAATATATAAGTGGTGGTTCCCTTGGACTACCAAGGGTATTTCCGTCATTTCCTTCCTTAAAAGAGCTCCTATCATACTATATAAGTCGTGGTCCCCTTGGACTACCAACTTACTATATTTTCATCATACTATATAAGTGGTGGTTCCCTTGGACTACCAAGGATATTCCCATCATTTCCTTCCTAAACTATATAAGTGGTGGTTCCCTTGGACTACCAACGGTATTACCAAACCAATCAAAAATTGCCACGTGGGGCTAATTAATATTTCTTTCTTTTAGTCATTATACTATATAAGTGGTGGTTCCCTTGGACTACCAACGGTATTCTAGTCATTTCCTTCCTAAACTATATAAGTGGTGGTTCCCTTGGACTACCAAGGGTATTCCCGTCATTTCCTTCCTTAAAAGAGCTCCTACCAATACTACCAAACCTATCAAAAATGGCCACGTAGGGCTAATTAATATTTCTTTCTTCATCATCATATATAATAATCATCATTCATACTATATAAGTGGTGGTTCCCTTGGACTCCCAAGGGTCTTTCCGTCATTTCCTTCCTAAACTATATAAGTGGTGGTTCCCTTGGACTCCCAAGGGTCTTTCCGTCATTTCCTTCCTTTAAAGAGCTCCTACCAATACTACCAAACCTATCAAAACTGGCCACGTAGGGCTAATTAATATTTCTTTCTTCATCATCATATATAATAATCATCATTCATACTATATAAGTGGTGGTTCCCTTGGACTCCCAAGGGTCTTTCCGTCATTTCCTTCCTAAACTATATAAGTGGTGGTTCCCTTCGACTACCAACGGTATTTCCGTCATTTCCTTCCTTAAAAGAGCTCCTACCAATACTACCAAACCTATCAAAAATGGCCACGTAGGGCTAATTAATATTTCTTTCTTCATCATCATATATAATAATCATCATTCATACTATATAAGTGGTGGTTCCCTTGGACTACCAAGAGTATTCCTTTTATATAATATTTTCTATTTCTTTCTATTAATATTTCTTTCTTTTATATAATATTTTCTATTTCTACTTTCTATTTCTTTCTATTATATTCTATTTTCTATTCTACTTCTATCTATTTTATTATTTATTTTTTACTTACTATATATCATCATCATCTCATACTATATAAGTGGTGGTTCCCTTGGACTACCAAGGGTATTCCCGTCATTTCCTTCCTTAAAAGAGCTCCTACCAATACTACCAAACCTATCAAAAATGGCCACGTAGGGCTAATTAATATTTCTTTATATTATTTTATATTATTTTCATCATATCCTCATATCATCATCATCATAAGTGATGGTTCCCTTCGACTACCAAGGATATTCCCATCATTTCCTTCCTTAAAAAAGCTCATACCAATACTACCAAACCTATCAAAAATGGTCATGTAGGGCTAATTAATATTTCTTTCTTTTAGCACTTTTTTTTTGCTCTCAAATACTACCAAACCAATCAAAAATGGCTACGTAGGGCTAACTTAATACCTTGCCGTGCCTTGCACGGGCACCCTTATCTAGTATATATATATAGACTGAAAAGGTAGTAAAATATATGACTTCACATGTAATGATCATGAGTACTCCTATGATGTGTACATTTTTGGGAGTAATAAGGAAAGGTTCATGGACTGAAGAAGAAGATATTCTTTTGAGGAAATGTATTGATAAGTATGGAGAAGGAAAGTGGCATCTTGTTCCAACTAGAGCTGGTAAACTAACTAGCTATTATACTACTTATTACTATGTTTTTCTTTTGTTTTCCTTTTTTTCTTAAACTTCACGTGAATACGTGTAGGATTAAACAGATGCAGAAAAAGTTGTAGACTGAGGTGGCTAAATTATCTAAGGCCACATATCAAGAGAGGTGACTTTGAACCAGATGAAGTGGATCTCATCTTGAGACTTCATAAGCTCTTAGGCAACCGGCAAGTTTATGTTTGACACTTTAATCTCATAGTAGACTTACCTAAATTTTCGTGATTATGTCATCCAAAAGTTTATAGCTTGCAACATTTTTTGCATGGCGGTGTTAAGCTATCTTGAGAATAACTATATAAATCGTTATCAAATTCATGCTTGAAATAGACTTTCCAGACTCCGCCTTATCCCACTAGGAGTCTTAGAAAGTCTATTCCAAACTTGATTGAATATATGTGACAAATTTATCGATTTTAAAAAATTAATTATGTTATATATGTATGTAGATGGTCACTTATTGCTGGTAGACTTCCAGGAAGGACAGCTAACGATGTGAAAAACTATTGGAACACTAACCTTCTAAGGAAGCTAAATACTAGTACTAAATTTGCTCCTCAACCACAAGAAGGAATTAATACTAGTACTATTGCTCCTCAACCACAAGAAGGAATTAAGTATGGGCAAGCCAATGCCATAATAAGACCTCAACCTCAGAAATTCACAAGCTCCATGAAGATTAATGTCTCTTGGTGCAACAACAATAGTATGGTAAATAATGAAGAAGCATCGAAAGACAACAACGATATGCAATGGTGGGCAAATATACTGGAAAATTGCAATGACATTGGAGAAGGAGAAGCTGAAAGAACACTACCTTCATGTAAGGAAATTAATTGCAATGAAATTGATAAAGCACCAAGTTTGTTACATGAGGGAGGCAACTCCATGCAACAAGGACAAGGTGATGGTGGTTGGGATGAATTTGCTCTAGATGATATATGGAATCTACTTAATTAATGGGTGATTTACACGAATGAACTGAGAGGTGGATATGGTCTTGAACTTTTGATTTCGCTTGTCTTATCCTACTGATAAAACTTCAAGTTTTACAAGTCCTTATTTTTATTCTTGAAGATTTGCCTATGGAGTAAATTGAGGTAAAAAATTCGAGACCACTCATATAATTAGGTGCATGGTCTTTGTATTATCTACGTGTGTACTTTTGTGTTTTTAAGGTGATCAAGTTTATAGTGGAATGTGAAAGTATTCCAAGTGTGAAGTATGTAATATGATATATGAAATGAA